AGCACAGCATTTAAGGCTTGATTTCAAAGAGAAGTATTCTTCAAAGTTTGAAGATGATACTGTGACAGAATATATATATATACCACTATAATATACAGACTCTGGTGAGACAGCTTCAAAAAACATGTCTATTCCTTATGGGTGGACAAAAAGGCCAATTCTCAAGCAAATCGGCAAAATGGACCCTGATATTCCAGTCTCAGTGATCTACAGTGCCCAGTCCTGCATAGATAGCAATTCTGGAACCCAGTCATTACGACCACATTCGTACATGAAGACAATAGCCATCCTTGGGGCCGGGCATCATGTGTGTGCGGATCAACCCGAAGACTTCAACCACCAGGTAAAAATCTGTGACACTGTGGTCTGAGAGCCCTGAAGATGATGGAGGAAAGCCTGCTGAGTGGTGCAGTTCCTCAACAATAATTCGTCCATGGTGAAGAATAAGGACAATGGAAGAACCAGGCAGTCTTGTTGACCGTACTTTGCACATGTTTTCTCTAGGAAGCTGCTTGCACACTTAAACCAGTTAGTGTCTCCTAGAAAAATGCCTTTCCTTTCTCCCACACAAAGTCAAAATATACAAGAGTCTCCGAATCTAATAGCTTTAATAAAAGGTTTGTTTCTCTGCTGTACTGAAAAACTGTAATTTTTTCAACTGAAATTTTTTTCATTTCTATCTAACTTGCTATGTCGGGTACTTTTATGTTTCAGTCTATATTGCCTATTTTAAAAAGTGATTTCTGAATTTATATTTTATATACTGTAAAGGTGCACTTTATTTTGTCTACTTGTATTTACCATGTCTAATAACTGACATATAGTGCATCAAAATTCAATGTGCCTTTATGTAAAGATATGTCATATTTTCAGAATACTTCACTTTTTTAAAAAAAAAATCTTTATTGATTTCAGAGAGAGGAAAGGGGAGGGAGAGAGAGAGAGAAACATCAATGATGAGAGAGTCATTGATTGAGCCCACAACCCGGGCATGTGCCCTGACCGGGAATCGAACCCCAATCGCCTAGGATCCCAGGTCGACGCTCAACCGCTGAGCCACACCCGGCCAGGCAGAATACTTCACTTTTGAAACGGAGTGATGAGACAGCAGTTTGGTTAAAAAGATAGGAATTGATCACTAGCATTAATTTTTCTGATTTTCCTCTGTTCTCTGTTTAAGGCTGCAAAGTCATGGTCAACATCTTAAATGTGATCCATCCTGACATATCTACAACAATATAACTCCTGGGGACCCTCTATACGTGCTGCAATTCTGCACTTCCAGCAAAATACAACATCAATCCTTGAGTGATCCAAGTAATGGAAAGCCTTGACGAAAGTCTGTCCTCTTTCCTCATATTAATTAATACTAGTCATTTCTGTGAGCCAGGATGCAGCAAAAGGAGATTTCCTCCCTGAGGGGATAGTAAGACTGTTACCTTCCAGTAAGCCAAATCATATGTTTTCATTGACATCTAACGCTTGTAGATTGGTGCTAAAACTAGATTATATTTTTACCACTAAATACAAAAATAGGTGGTGCTGTTACATCTCATGGCACCAGAGATGAACTAGCACTTGGGTTTGTTTGAGGGGTTTTAAGAGTTTTGTATTGATTAAATAATTTACATGCTTCAGGTCATATTAAAATTGTATAAGTTTGGTTGAACTATTTAACAATAACTACCATCAAATGTATTACTTTTTTGCTGTTTTAAAATGAGGAAAACCTTTTTGAAACTGTGAAAAAGCTCCATGTGGTAAGTGGCTGCTGAGAAGGCCCTTCGAAGAATAAAACTGAACAGGATTGTAACCAACAAGGTATTTTTGACTTACATTTTGCTAATGTTCTTGTCTAGCAGAAAGGTGTTTATGTAAATAAAAACAGTAAACTAGAGGAGAAAAAAAAATGCATACCTAAATATAATTATGAAGAAACATCAGACAAACCCCAAATAAGATACTTTCTACAAAATAAGTGACTTGTACTTTTCAAAATTTCAAGGTCAAATAAGATTTTTTAAAATTACAACTAATTGCAAAGTGTGACTCTAGGTTGGCTTCTGTGGTTGGGGAATGAGAAGTAATTGTGAAGAATATTTATTGGAACAATTGAGAAAATTTTAAATATAGACTGGATAATAATATTGTATCAATATTATAGTTTCTAATTTTCATAATTATACTGTGGTAATGTAAGAGAACGTCCTTATTCTTAGGAAATACACACTGATGTACTTAATGGTAACACAGAACTTACTCTCAAATTGTTCAAAATAATCGTGTGTGTGTGTGTGTGTGTGTGTAGGGAGGGGAGAAAGAGAGGTTAATAAAGCAAATGGGCAACATGTAAACAAAGTATATGAAAGTTTTTTGTACTATTCGTGCATCTTTTCTAAAAGTGTTAAATTACATTAAAATTGAAAATTACCAAACAAAAAATATATTTATTACTTCTAATATGTTAAATGTGATTTTCTTTTAATGGTGATTGCTTTAAAAGGAAAGCACCAAAGTTCAAAACTGAAATCCAGTTCAAGATGTCAAATTAAATATATGAACAAGAGGACTGAGAAACTACTGCAGGTGAGGACCAAATTTTCTTTCTACTGTTCTAGGTTTTTGACTGGTCTAATAATTAAGTTAGCCTAAGACAGATTAACAGAAGCAAGATGTATAACACAAAACTCATATAGAATAAAGCTGTTGGGATGTTAAAAAAAAATGCCTAACAAAGCTCCCAGCTCAAAGTCAACAAAAAAGCAAGTCTGGGTGAATTATCAAAGAAATTAATTGAAGGAAGAATTCAGAATACCTAGATCATTCAAGCACCTTCCACTCTTCTGCTTACACTAAACAGGAGGTATCCTCAGTATTTGATTTTAGGACAAAACTCCTAGCATTGAACAATTTATCTTGTGTGTGGAAGGAGGGTGTGGGCGTGGGTACAGTGTGTGGGCATCCTTATTAATGATGAGGCTACATTGCCCGGCCGGTGTGGCTCAGCGGTTGAGCATCAACCTATGATCCAGGAGATCTCTGATTCCCGGTCAGGGCACATGCCGGGTGGTGGGCTCGATCCCCAGGAGGAGGCACGCAGGAGGCAGCAGATCAGTGACTCTCTCATCATTGATGTTTCTATTTCTCCCTCTCCTTCCCTCTCTCTGAAATCAATAAAGACTTTTTTTAAAAAAAATGATGAGGCTACAGAGAGGCAGAGCAGAAAGGTAAGAAAGAATTGTTAATTTCAACGTTTGCCCTGGCAAGAACCTTGAGGTTGGTTCTGACACAAATGGCTTCCAGAATGGGCACTGAAGCCTGAAAAGCAGGGAGGTAACCCAGATTATTTGCAACTGGATGGAAAGGGAAGCTCTCCCTTGCTCCCACTCCCACAGAAGACGGGTTATTAAAATCTACTCAACTGCATTTTTGGACCTTTCCCCTCTTCCAACCTGCACACTTCCCTCCCTCCAGCCCAATGGTATTCTAAGCAATGACCAGGAGGCAAGATTTCTGAAATCAAAACTGATTCAAGTCAACAAATTAACATCAGTTCTGGAATGAAAGCTCATTGCAAAAGAGCTGTCATTTTTTCTCTGCTATATCACCAAAACTTATTTCAGTGTAACTGCACAGAAAATATTTGTTAAATGAACTGATAAAGGCAAGTCAGTAGAAATAACTTAAATGCCCAACACTAATAGAATTGCGTATGTACGAATCCACACAGCCAAATATTATGCAACCATTAAAAAGTTTATTTGTAAAATTAGTGATATGGAGAAATATTTGATTATATTAATCTTAAAAAAATAAAAGAAATAATATATTCATGAAGGAAATATACAGCCTCTTGGGGATTTTTATTTTGCTGTTCTCTGTGTTTTCTGTTTACAAATTACTGTTATTATTAGAAAGAAACTCACTTAAATTCTCTTTATTTTTGACTTAAGGACACATCCAAACCCAACTCAGATACAATTATCACCTAGATGAAATAAATGTACCAATTAATAAGCAAATGCAGGATCCTCCACAGTCAGTATAAGGTAATGCTTGGGGACTATATGTCTATATAATTAATTTATGCTTAAATTCTAGAGCTGAGCCAAGTCCCGGGAGCGGGAGCACTGGACGTGAGCTCTGGGAATCGGTGGGGCTTCAGCAGGCAGCAGTAACAACGAGGGGATCCGCGAAGGGTCTCAGCAAAGGCGCAAAGGCTAAACTGAGCTGCTCGTTCCCCAGGACACCGGAAATGCGCGCAGGACGGACAGAGGCGGGGAGAGGACGCGTTAGAAACCTTGCAACAGAAGTGGGTGCAGAGTGTGTGTCACGCAAAATGCCACGAGACGGGCAGGGAATGATAAAGATAAGAGTAGCGAAGTAACAGCACACCCCAAGGTAGTCAACTGTAGAAAGGAAAAACAAAGCTGTCGTTAAGAAAGCCAGGACGACCACGATCCTGTCGCTCGCCGCTATCCTCTAGGCGCCAACATTGGTGGCCCCGAGCCTCCAGGCCCGCAGGCGGCGAAACAGCGCCTCTCGCAGGCGGCGAATCATCTGGGGAAACACCACGAGGAGGAGACGGCCTGAGAACTACAACTCCCAGTGAGGCCTGGAGCACAGGCCCCCTTTCGTACTTCCGCTTCCGCCCCCGCCCTCGTGTGCCCCCTTCCATCAGACCCACCCGGGAGCGGGCCGGGTGTGTAACCGCGCGTGACTGCGCGTGACTGGTCCCCCAGCTCGAGCCGAGAAGCACGAAGGCGGGACTCTGGGAGCCATTGGTAGAAAGGCAACCTGAAAAGGTGGAACTAAACTTGAAAATCTCGATAGTGATTGGAGTTGAAAGGACAAGGCGGAGCCTAACGGCCACGATAGTGTCCAATCAGCGGCCAGGATGATCGGGGGAGGGAAAGCGAGTGAGGCCGTTCTGTGGTCACGTGGCGCGGGGTCTAGTGGGAGGGACAGTTGCCCAGCTGCCGTCTGGCGCTTCCTGTTTCCGGTCCCCGGAGTGGAGCACCGCGAGGCTCCGCGAGGAACGCTGGCAGTGGCAAGAGCTCTGGGCGCGGGGTCTGCGGCTGGCCCCTCGCTGGCCCTGTCTCCCAGCCCCAGGCAGGTACTCACCCTGGGAGTCTGAACTTTGGCTGCCCCTGTGCCCGCGACATGTGAGTATGAGGGGCCGGAGAGCGCTCACGCCTCGGCGTCTGTGACAGGGGCCGCGATCGTTAAGTCTCCCTTGTCCAGGGTTCTAGCCAAAACTCCAGCTAAGGAGCCCTGGAGCAGAACGGAGTGAGGGCAGGAGTCACAGAGCCCAAGGGGAGGGAGTGAGGAGAAAGGACCGCCAAGACCAGAGAGGGAATTTACTTGTATTTGGAAGGCAGGGAAAGGAAGGTCCCTAGGTCTGGAGTGTTTGAGGGTGTTACTGAATACCTTAGTCGGGATTTTGGCCAGCATCGTGGGGGGAGGGAGAGTAGCATCCTTTGGAGAAGGCATGGCCCTAAGCAGTGGGAAAGTTAGGAGACTGGACTTTCTAGAACGCTGGAAGAAGTTTAAAGGGGAATGAGTGTGTGGTGTGGAGAAGAGTGGCCAAGAGAGGGATTATTCTTGTGTTCCTCTTTGTAGGGAACTTCTGCCCTCGGGACACAGAGCTAATTCTCTGAGGCTTCTCAATACTGGGCCTTTTAGCTAATTAGGACTGCTCTTCTAACAGTGTAGGCTGCTGGAGACAGGAGAGAAATGAGTCAGAAGAAAGACAGTGGAAATTTCATTGAAAAATGGAAAATACTCATGGCTATATTGAGGGGTAGGGAAGAGAATGGTACAGAGACCCAGTGTTGTAAATTGCTTCCAATTCCTGGCTTAGTTATTGGTCATCCCACTGAAGGAGAATTTTTTAGCATTACCAAATAGATGTCATATCCTAAGGAAATTGAAGGGAATTTTTCAAAATCTGCAGTCCTGCCTCGTGTTTGCAAAGTATCTAGACAAACTCTTACACCTTGTGAATCAAATTGTAGCACATTAAAAAAGGACTACCCAGCCCTTGGATTTCATACTCTTCCTGATACATTTTTGCACCCCTGTATTAGAAAATTTCCAATAACTCTCTTTATGCCATGCATTGTCCAAGTTACCCCAATAACCTTGTACATATTTAATAGTTGTATAACCTAAGGCAAGTAACTTCTGTAGGCACCAGTTTCCTCATTTATAAAATGGGAGAGATTATATCACTTTTCTGGGTTGCGAAGGTTAAGGAACATAACCTAGATAAAGCACTCGAGTCACATGCCACTGAATCAGAGAGAAGCAGCTCACTCATGTAGTCAAACCTTAAGCAAGGAAGAGAGAGGATGTAAGTAGATTCTCATCCTGACTTTTAGAACCAATAAGCAAGTGAAAGCTAGTTCAACTGAACTAGTGCTGTACCTTTCACCCTTTCCTAATTTTGTGAGGTTCTTTGTTCTAATTTGGGAAAAGAAGTTGTCAACTGCTAACAGCTAAGGAACTGACTTTGAGGCCAAAGAACACAGCTTTCTGTTTAAACATCCCTCTAGAAAAACTGGTCCTGGAAGAAAAATCTTGAAAGCCTAGGATGTTGAAATTTTAAATTAGGTCCTTAGAGCCCGGCCAAGCATGGCTCAGAGGTTGAGCATCAACCTGTGTGATCCAGGAGATCTCTGTTTGATTCCCGGTCCGGGCACATGCCCGGGTTGCAGGCTCGATTCCCAGTAGGGGGCATGCACGAGGCAGTTGCTCAGTGACTCTCTCATCGTTGATGTTTCTCTCTCTCTCCCCCTCTCCCTTCCTCTCTCTGAAATCAATAAAGATATATAAATAATAATAATACAATAAATAAATAAATTAGGTCCTTAGAGAATATAAGGAAAATGGCATACTAAGTCAATGTAATAAAAGGAATCTCTTGTTTCTCTTTAGTAACTCAGCTGGTCACATTGTGTGTTGAGCAATGAGTTAATTTAGGGAAGGTAGGAGTTTGAGGTCTGAGTTCTTTATTCCACCTCCTATTCAGTGAACTGTGTGAGGCATCACTTCCCCTTCCCCTTCCCCTTCCCCTTCTTGCTTTGTCAAAAAGAAAGCAAAGCTTTGACTGTCTACTCCGATCCCACAAAAAATTGATGTGAAAGGAGATAGATATACATGTAGCGGTTAAGTATAGACTATGAGCTCTAAAGCCAGACTTAGCTGGTTCACTCTACTAGTGCTGTCTCAGTTTTCTCATCTGTAAAATAGGGACAATAATTATATTTACTGCATAGGGTTTTTATAAGGGTTAATTAGTTAATGTATGTTTAGTGCTTCAAACAGTGCCTGGCAGAAGGCAAGCACTCAAAGTGTTTCCTATTGGTGTTTTAAATGTGTTTATGCGGCCCTCAGATTTTATGACTGGCTATAAGTATTCTGTGGAAACATCTTATTAATATTACTGTAGTGAATTAATGTTTGGAGTACATAAAGTCAGGGAGACAACCTTCCAAGCGTTTGTTGTCCTAGTGGAATGTGGGAAACAGAGGTCAAATGTAAGTTTGTTTAGGGAGTGGAGAAAATTTATTCAGGCCTCAGCTTCCATTTTCCTATATTTAAGCTTATTGGTACACATTAAATTCTGCCTTTTTCAAGTTTTTTATTCTAAAAATGCAATGGAGCCTGGCTGGCATGGCTCAGTGGTTGAACGTCAACCCATGAATCGAGATCACGGTTCTATTCCCAGTCAGGGCATATGCCCAGGTTGCAGGCTTAATCCCCAATAGGGGGCATGCAGGAGGCAGCCCCTCAGTGACTCTCTTATCATTGATGTGTCTATCTCTCCCTCTCCCTTCCTCTCTTTGAAATCAATAAAAACATATTTTTAAAAATAAATAAATAAAAATGCAATGGAGTTAGTAGACAAGCATGGAAAAGAATTAGAGCATTTTAAAGAGTGTTGAAATCAAAGTCCAAACTTGTAGCATGGAAGCATTTTATTATAAGTGAGAAAAGTTTGAAAGAATGAAATCTTTGTATCAGAAAAATTAGTGATACTGTTATGAAATTAATAAATAGCACTGACCTCAAGGGTCATTAATGATACCAGACTTAAGTCTTTTACAAGGGTAAATCAGTGTGTCCTGGGTATGAAGATGGATTAGAGAAAAGAAAATGAGTTGCAAAACAGAGCCCTGTGTTTCCATTCCTAGAGCAGTACAAGCAGCAGGTCAGTTGGATTACTAAATTGTAAAGTGACTTGGTGACCCCCAAGGGTAGTCAGCAATTTGGAGTGTAGAAGGACAGCTAACTGTACTTACTATAAACCTAGAAACTGAAGATTTGTGACTTGTAGAGCCTGAGGTGAGTTTTGGAAGACTTCTTCAAACCACTTATTTTGACTTAGTGAATTTTCTTCCTATAATTAAGTGAATGGATGATTTTTCAGAGATGAGACTTTAAAGTAGATAATGCCAAGTCTTAGACACTGTGCTGTGTTTATCTCTATTCATCACTGTACTGGTGAATACGAACAGAGACTGTTGGATACTCCTGAATATCAGTATAATTCAGGGCCTGAATAAGTATAAGAGACCTGAATTCAGGTCTCTTTATTTTACATCTTTCTTAATAGCTTTCAAACAGACCCTATCAAGTGTCAAAGTGTAATCTGAGTATTACAGACCCTATCAAGTGTCAACTTGTAATTTGAGTGTTATCTTAGGGAAGGCCACTGGTTTAAGCAGTATTTATGAACTCTGGCCCCTGCACACACTTCTCAGCCGTTCATTTCCTGTGTCTGTGGCAAGTTCCAGGCAGAGCCCCCATCCCTCTGGCCTCAGCTTCTTCCCTTTAGATATGTGACCTACAAAGTAAGAAAAACAAACAAGCAGAACAAAACTTGGTTGATCCTGCCAGTAACATATCCTTGTGTCAAAGATTAAGCCATACATGTCTGATACAGTGAAACTGTACAAAGTTTAAAGTATTAAGCTTTAAATGAGATATCACTACCTAACTTTTCACCAGACAGGAAAGAGGCAAGGATGTGTCCACTCAGCCTGTCATGATTAATTCTTTTTTGTTCTTTCCTTTCCCTCTTCTCACCCCCATAGTGTATTCTGAAGGACTTAACTATGAATTAGACTGAAGGTTAAATATGAGCTTCCTGGTACAGATGCTTTTGGCACAGAAATATTAAAATGTACTATTTGTTGCATATGCTAAAGAATCTTACACTTTCTGCATAATCGATCCATTAGTAGTATCTAAGTATTCCCTACCTTGGTTAGTCCTTCTGACAGTTTCTAGAACAAAAAAAAAATGTGTCTTTCTTCCAGTAGAGTTAAGGAGTTGGTAAACTGCCTTGGAAGTCAAGATACTCTTTTTTTTTTTAAGGACACCTTGCAGAAATCATCAACAACCACCTTTGGACACTAACCTTTCATCAAGGCCAATGTTGCCGTCTTTCTTGCATGCACATTGTGCCCCTGTCCTGAAGGGGCACAGGAAGGACAGCAGGTGAACAGTGGTGTCAGGCAATGGAGTCAGCTAGGAAGAGGCTTTCAAAATAAGTTTGAAAAAGAAAAAGAGAGACCTAAGAATCCAATTCAGAATATTAAGAGATAGGAAGAAAAAGAACGGATGAGAGCTAAAAGCTTGAAATAGATGCAAGAAACAAAACCAACTTCATAGTAATGAAGAAAACTGGATAGTGTAAAATAAGAGGTGATAGATGGAAGATAAAAAGATTTTTTAAAAGTACCTTTCATTTATTACACAGTCATATGCTTTTATCTCTTTCCCTTCTCTTCTGATCCTCCCCCCATTTCCCCAACACACACACACTTTCTCCCAAAAGGATGTTCCCCTTCTACCGCTGCCGGAGGACTGGACTGCTGCTGCTGCTACTCCTGGCCGTCACAGTAAAAGAATCCTGGCAGAAAGAAGAAAAAACCTGCGACCTGGTAGGAGAAAAGGGTAAAGAGTCCGAAAGAGAGTTGGCTGTACTGAAGAGGATGACACCACTGTTTAACAGAAGGTAAAAATGAGAAGAACCTTAAAGGGCTGGAGAAAATAACTTTTTTTTTTTCGCCCAGCCTCTCCAGACAACCTCTGGTACTCCTCTCACCCCCCCAGACCTCAGCTGCCCCAGTATCACCCAGACTTCCAGAACCACAGACCTCCAACTCCTCCCGTACCCCTGACCCTCCACATACCCCAGACCCTCTTCGGTACCCCCAGCCCCGGGAGGCTCAAGGAGGGAGGTGGTTGTAGGTGATGCTCATCAGAGAAGAGCTTTTTTTATTTGTTTGAGGATAATTTTTCCATTGATTTTTAGAGAGGGGGAGAAAGAGAGAGAGAGAGAGAGAGACATCACTGAGAGAGGCACATCGATTGGTTGCCTCCCACATGCGCCCCAGCAGGGCCCAGGGCTGGAACCTGCAACCTAGGTATGTGCCCTTGACCGGGAATCAAACCTGTGACCCTTCAGTGCGAGGGCTGATGCTCTAACCACTGTACACACTGGCCAGGGCAGAGAAGGGCATTTTTAAAAGAATCTTCCACTTCTTACTGATTTCATTTCGGTATTGCTATTGAATATGGAGAGAATACATGTATAATAATCTCCTCTCTATCTCTATCTGGGATAACTGGTGCTATCTTGCTTTTATGATACAGAGCAATTCTCAACCCAGTTTTCAGTAGCAATATGCAGTTCTCTAATGCAGAAAATTATCTGTTTCTAAGACTGGATCCAAGAGACCAGCTTGTAGGAATTTAAAAAGCATTATTAGATCCTTTTATGTAATAGGACTTTAGAAGTATCAGATAAGCATATTTAGGCCTATACACGTCATCAGCATTGTCAAGAATCATCAGGTATATAAATCTGAAGATGATCTTTAAGGAACAAGGGAGTATCCCATGAACACAGACCCTTATTCACAGGGAAATAGAAGCTAACACTTTATCATAGTCTAGAGCAGATATTCTAGAATATCTAGCTATCTGGGGTAGCTGGTATATTTTAATCAGTCATCATCAACACTTAGGATGGTCAGGGTCATGGATATCTCATGATTCGACAAATACTCACTATTACATTTAGCCATGACTTCAGAAAGATAAACTGAATGCACCTTTTTGGGGGTCAGAGGTTGGGGGGTAAAAGGAAGAAAGGCTTAGAGTCATTAACTCTCTTCCTTCTTTCTCCTCGCTTCCTGACAGCTTTGAGAGCACTGTGGGCCAGGGTCAAGAAACATATATGTATATATTCAGGGTGTGCCGGGAAGCTAACAACCACTCCTCCGGGGCAGGCCTGGTGCAGATCAACAAAAGTAACGGGAAGGAGACAGTGGTGGGGAGAATCAACGAGACTCACATCTTCAATGGAAGTAAGACTCTCCCTGTTGACTAATAGATCCCAAGTCAGTCCTTCGGACAGTCCTGTATGACTTTCTCAGTCTCTTCAGAATACCATATGGTATGTGTGGTTCAGCACACCTGAGACAATAAACCATAGGGTACCTAGTTCCATAGCTCCTCTGGAGCCAAGGCTCAGGACTTTGTGTTTGTTTTAAAGTTAGTGAAAAGCTTATCCAAAAAAAGAAGAATCTAGCTGAAATTGTATAGCCTGGAGTCCTTTTAATACTTAATGAGTATTTCATGCTAGGCTTGAAAATACCAACCACAACCATTTCTCATCAAATTAATCAAACTTTGCCTGTTAAGTTATAAGAGATCAAGTTTTGCAAACCAGTCAGTCTACAAAAGCTTCTCTACCAACTTGTGACAATGATGGTGATAATATCTCAAAAGTCATAAAGTCTTATTGCTGGAAAAGACTATGTGAGCACCTATAATCTAATTGCTTCCCTTAGGCAGATAAATAAATTATCCCCCCAGTGCTATTTGTTCCTATAAATAAGTGACACAAAGAACTTGGGACTATGGGCCAAAAGATGGATTTTTTACCCATATCATATTTACTTTGTCCTTTGAAAAGGACTTTGAAAAATCATTTCACCTTTTTTACTGTTTTCGCAATGCAAAATTGGAAGCAGAATCTTTACTTTATTGACTTCACATGACTTTTGAATCAAATGATATTTTGCAAAAGAAATTTGAACACAGTAAATACTAAAGAAAAAGAAATGCCTCCCAATCTTAAAAATCATCCACTTTGAACTTATCTGTGGCTAACTTAAATCTTAGGCTTTCCCCCACCACCCACTAATTGTTAGGAACCTCTTCCTTTGATGTTAGCAGGTGGTCAGCAAATGTGAACCATTGTTAAGGTATGGAACATAATTGCTTTTGCACTGTCAGCTGCCTGCCTTTAATGTGAAGAATTAAGATTCTTAATTAAGACAAGTTTTAGCTTGGCATTTCCAGTATACAGAACTCATACTGATGAGGGATATTTTAATTAAAACCAATTATCTGAACTTCCCAATTCCACTTTATCATAGTACCCAGGTCTTCCTCTATTTTCCCCCACCCCCAAAGCTCCATTTTCCTTGTCCCTCCTCAGGTAATTGGATCATGCTGATCTATAAAGGGGGTGATGAATATGACAATCACTGTGGCAAGGAGCAGCGTCGTGCAGTGGTGATGATCTCCTGCAATCGACATACCCTAGCGGTGAGGCGCCCTGGGGCATATGAGCCTAGAGGAGATGAAAGGACTGACCTGAGGTGGGAGAGACTTTCCAGAGGGCACAAGATACATTGGGATGGAGTAAACTAGAAGTGTAATTTTTTCGTGTCATAGACACCCATCTTCTAACATACATGGAAAATAGGTTATTAAACTAGGGGAAAAAATGTTTTTGGGGTTTCGTGGGGTTTTTTCTTTTTTTAGATGGACTCAACGCATTTCCAATATGTTCTGTCCCTTTATCATCAGGACAATTTTAACCCTGTGTCTGAGGAGCGAGGCAAAGTCGAAGATTGTTTCTACCTCTTTGAGATGGATAGTAGCCTAGCCTGTTCCCCAGAGGTCTCCCACCTCAGTGTGGGTTCTATCTTACTTGTCACGTGAGTACCCTTTTTCCCTTATAAGTCTCTGCCTGTTTTTTTTTTTAACCCTCACTTGAGGATATGTTTTTATTGATTTTTTTAGAGAGTGAGGAAGGGAGAAACATTGATGTGAGGGAGAAACATTGATGTGAGACAGAAACATCAGTCGGTTGCCTCCCACATGCTCCTCAGCCTGGGGATTGAACCCACAACCTGGGTATGTGCCCTGACCGGGAGTCTATCCTGTGACCCTCCAGTGCATGGGAGATGTTCCAACTGAGGCACACCAGCCAGGGGTCCCTTTTCTTTAACTCTTTAATTTCATGAATGCATATGGGCATAAATTGTGTGTGTGTGTGTGTGTGTGTGTGTGAGAGAGAGAGAGAGAGAGAGGAGGAGGAGGGGGGGAGAATTGGAGAGCAGAGAACTTTATGTGAAAATCCTCATTAAAGTCTGACTATACATGTTTTAAAAAATGAGATTTGTTGCCCAGCCAGTATGGCTCAGTGGTTGATCAACCTGTGATCCAGGAGATCAAGGTTCAGTTCCTGGTCAGAGCACATGCCCGGGTTGCAGGCTTGATACCCAGTTGGGGGCATGCAGGAGGCAGCCGATCAATGACTCTCTCATCATTGATGTTTCTTTCTCTCTCCCTCTCCCTTCCTCTCTCAAATTATTAATACATTTTTTTTTTTGAAAAGAGATTTTTTTCCCCAATAAATATGTTTGAGGGTGCTTCCCCCCACTAGATAGCTGGACAGTTTTTGATACTACCCCATTAGATTAGTAATTTTCAACCGGTATGCTGTGGCACACTAGTGTGCTACAAGAATTTTTGAAACATGCAATACCTGAATTCAGTCAGGGGCACTGACCTCTTTTCCCTGAAATTGTCACATAAAAAAATGACACCAGCTGCCCTGGCCAGTGTGGCTGGGTTGATTGGAGCATCATCTTATATACCAAAAGGTCATGGTTCGATTCCTGGTCAGGACACAACTAGGTTGCAGGTTCCATCCCCAGTCGGGGTGCATATGGGCGACAACCATCGCTGTTTCTCTTTCCCTCTCCCTTCCTCCTCTAAAATCAATTTTTAAAAAATTACAACAGCCAACAGAACAATAGCCCTCCAGTGTGAAGGGTTCAAAATTATACTTTTTGTCAGATCAGCAAAAAAAATATTTTTTGGTGTGCCACAGAATTTTACTAGTTTGTGTGTGCCATGAGGTGAAAAAGGTTGAAAATTACTGCATTAGATGATTATAACTTTTGGAAAAACAGAATTGTGTATCTAATGGTGACTGTTGGCAGAAGTCACAGTCTTATTTTTTTCTGATTGCTTTGGTTTTCTAAGAAAGCTACCAGCCCCTTTCATTTAACTTCACCACCTTTTTTTTTCTCATTTTTATAGAACACAGCTTACGAAACAGCTAACGATACAGCCCTTTCTTCAACAGGTTTGCATCACTGGTTGCTGTCTATATCATCGGGGGGTTCCTATACCAACGATTGGTGGTAGGAGCCAAGGGAATGGAGCAGTTTCCCCACTTAGCCTTCTGGCAGGATGTTGGCAACCTGATAGCAGTAAGTAACGGCAGCTGGCCGCGCTTGTAGCCTGCATACAAAGTTGAGTGACCAGCCATCCTGGTTTGCCCGGACTGAGAGGTTTCCTGAGACACAGGACCTGGGTGCTAAAACCACAAAAGGCTCAGCAAACCAAGACAGTTGGTTGCCCTAGTACTAAGCAGCATAGGGTCTACTGACTGGCCTTGCTAAGACTTGACTGGAAGAGCAACGCTGTTGGTTAGATTTAGGAATCGGACATAGCTGTTGAGGGGCCTAGATAGGAAAGTGAGACATTAGAATTTTTCTCCTGTTTCCCCCCAATTCAATTTAGGCTGATCCTTGAAGCTTTCGGGGTTTCTCTTCATTATCCCTGGAGAAAACTAGTTCTTACCATGTTCTTAGATCGTAAATCTACTTTGCTTTACCCTAGAGTTGGTTATTCCAAATTATCATTTCCTTCATTTCTTTCCTTACAGGATGGTTGTGACTTTGTGTGCCGTTCTAAACCCCGAAATGTGCCTGCTACATACCGTGGTGTGGGGGATGATCAGCTGGGGGAGGATTCAGAAGAAAGGGATGATCATTTACTACCAATGTGAATGCACTTTATACGCCCAGCTTCTTCGTTCCCCAAACCAAAGCATCCTCAGCCAATTTCTTACGCAATCTGCTCCAGCCTCTCATCTCCCCCTTACTGTTGCTCTTGCTTTCCAGTTTGCTTTTGGTTTGCGTCATCTCCCCCTAATAGAAATGCGTTCCTTTTATTCCCTATTTTTGGTTTTTCCTCTAGAGTGGTACAGTTGTAGGTCAGAGATAATATAATAAGGCCTGTGACAAAAGGCACTGTCTTGGTATAGGAAGGTACATGGAGGATAGTTAGGAGCAAAAGCATGTGGAAGACTCACTGACCTTCTTAAACATTTTCACAAGCTTTTCAGACACTGGAATTCTTTAATTTAAAAAAAGCAAAGCAAAAAAAAACATTTTTTATACAAGGTTTGATTGCTTCCATGCTTGTAGTCTCCATGAGAATCTGCATGTAATTTCTTGCTGCTTGGAACTACTTTGCAATGAATATTTTGTTGCAGTCCAAGTACTGCCATTTGGTCTGAGCCTGGAGATGTGGTAGACCTGCTTCTCCCACCTCTGGGGTTAGGGTGGGGAAAATGTGAAATTTCCCAGTTAGAGGATTGTAAATTACCATCACTAGCATTGGAGTAACTTTGTAGCTGGAATTGGGCCCTGGATTGTGGTCTTGCGGTTATTAGTCCACATGTAGCCAAAATTCCTAATCCACAAATCGTGTCTGTTAGAAAGAGAAACTGAAAGTGACCTCTGCTACAGGAGTTCCAGAAAAGGGAAGTCTGTTTACCGTGTAGTGGGATCTCTTAGATGGCTTTTCTCTCCCACTTGCAGTAAAAGTTGGCAAAGCCTTTCTTACCAGTGTTTCTAAACATGTTGCACTTTCCACAGGCATGTCATTGGACTATTTTTTTCAATCTTCTGGAAAGGGAATGGAGGCAGATGCAGGACATTAGGGCTCTGCCACCCTCTGCTCTTGGTGTGGGGATTCCACACCTGTCCCTGCTTCTGGCTCAGGGAAGTCTCTTGCCTACATTTCTGTGTGGAGAGGTTTTTAGTGCTCTCCACCTTTCTACTTAGGTCATGTGCCCAGAACCTGGCCTGGCCTGATCTTTATTTAACAGTGAACCTGTGCCACTGAAGAGTAACATGGCTCCACTGGGCACAAGAGGATGGAATCAATAGGCAGGGGCCTTTTATAGCCTTAGAGGAGAAAATAAAATGATTTCATCCTTGGACTTTTAAATACTATCGCAATGATTTTTTTCTTTCTAAACAGGGAAAATAATGTTATAAAAACATCTTTTTGTTATTTGTTTGCATCCCTCCCCCATATTCTGGTGTTGGAAAAAAACTATCATTTTTTGTACAAAAACACTTGAAAGATTAAAAAAAACAAACCATGCTGGCCTAGTCATTTGTGTGAAAGAGGGTAGAGACTAGAGACACTGGACTGGAGTAAGACAACTGAGACCAATTTTTATCCTTTTACTGAAGAGGGAAAAAATATTGAATATTTTTGTTGTACAAGGAACAGCGCCTAAGGCAGGTATTTACCCTCCATCCTCCTGCCCTCAGCCCCACGCACTCCTGTTTCATAAAGCTATAGGACACAGCAGAGTTGAAAAGAAAAGGTAGAAGACAACACATGTATTGGAAGGGAGCAGAGGGGATGCAGAAAGAATGACAACAGCCACATGTGTGCCAAACACTTAGTCCCTGCAGCAAATCAATGATGCCAACCAAGTGTCTACACCGGCTGGTGAGCCTTCCATGGACAATAGGAGAAAATGTTCAATAGTAAGGTAGTGAGTGAAGACAAAGAAAACGGCCGCAGCTACAGTCAGACAATCCAGAGGGAGTACTGGATTTTACCACTTGTGTCACACAAGCTAGAGCCCTCTCTGCCTCTGGAGAGGTGCTCCTACATTTTCCACCCATTTCCTTGCCTTACCACACAGTATGTGCCTCCTCTTGGAGAACCAAGGCCCTGGCTAGATACTCCACTCCAGGAAAGGGCTGAGCAGTACTAGTTCATTTTATAAAGGTTGGGTCAGAGTAGCTGAAAATGTTGAGAACTGTAAAGATTTTAAAAAATAACCCAGAGAATGTCAAAGCTCCACCATGTAGCACCAGCAACCAATTCTTGCGCTTTCCTTCCGTCTTAGTAATCCCCTCCACAGATTTACATAATTGGAAAAGTTCTTTATTCCCTGTAAAGTCTCTGCTGGTACCAGGTTATAACCTGGACAGTGGGGAATGTCTGCCTTAGGCTGCTTTGTGCAAGAGGGCCACCTTAGGTCTCCTTGAGGACGTTGATCTTGGCGCAGATCTTGAGGGCTGGGCCCAGCTTGATGTTCATGGCACTCATAAGATGTTCCTCTTTAAGTAATAAAAGGGCCTGTCCATCAATCTCCTGGGAACGAAACTCCTCTGCAATCTCTTGACAGCCTAGAAGGAAACAGTGGGAATTGCATGAGAAAGTACATGGTAGCACCAGAGGACAGGAGGGGAAAACTCAAGATGAAAAATGTGCAGCCGATCAATGACTCTCTCATCATTGTTTCTCCCTCTCCCTTCCACATATTAAAAATTTTTTTTTAGCCCAGCCGGCCGTGGCTCAGTGTTTGAGCGTCGACTTAGGATCCAGGTGATCGGGGTTCGATTCCCGGTCAGGGCACATGCCTGGGTTGTGGGCTCGATCCCCAGTCAGGGGCGTGCAGGAGGCAGCCAATCAATGAATCTCTCATCATTGATGTTTCTCTCTCTCCCTCTCCTTTACTCTCTCTGAAATCAATAAAGATATATTAAAAAAAAATTTTCTTAAAAGACGAAAAACATGGAGACTTAGCAATGGTTAATCCCAAAGTACATGTCTAAATTCAGTAATAGGAAGGTTTGAGATGACAAGCTTCAGAAGAAAAGGAAATCAGAGAGCAACTGGCTATTTAAAAGAAAGCCAAGATAATGGAAGAACTAAGTTCAACCACAGAAATAACCTCATTCAAACAGCTTGAGGGGGAAAGGGTAGGAGCAAAGATAAATACATATTTTCTTTTATACTGGCAAGAAAAGCTAAAATGACCCTTTGTGACACGTTGAAAAGCACAGAATTCAGCCTTGGCCAGCATGGCTCAGTGGTAAAGCATCAGCCCACACAACAGAGGGTTACAGGTTCTATTCCTGGTCAAGGGCATGAGCCTGGGTTGTAGGTTCGATCCCCAGGCCCCATCTGGGTGCGTGTGGGAGGCAACCAATCGACGTGTCTCTCACATCAACGTTTCTCTCTCCCCCTCCCACGCTCCCAAAAATCAATGGAAAAAATATCCTCTGGTGAGGATTAACCAAAAATAAAAAATAGCTCATAAACATTCTTGCTTTGAAGAGAGTGGGGCAACTATTGGCCCCTAATTTTCTAATCCCCTTCTCCAATGAAAAAAGTCTTCTATCCATGGTGGGTATCACAATCACACATAAAAATATACTTTATCCAAAAATTATTGATAAGATAGCTCAATCCTAAGAGATGGAAATCAAACACTGAAACTGTTGACATAACAGAGGGTGACAACCCAGAAGGAAATTAGTAAACCAGCCTATGGGCGAGTAAGTTGAATAAATATCAAGAGTACAGCCTTCAAGCCTCTCCTGCTTAAAGGTCAGTTATGTTCCCTGTTACCAAGACTTGTGCGAAGACCTAAGGAAACCAAGCATATATGTGAGCTGGGTTCTGTTGCACAGGCCCTCAGTACCTTGTAGAGAAGCGATGAACTCATACACCTCCTCCACACTCCAACGGCTAGGATTACTGGACAGGAACACAGGGTTGATGCCATGTAATTCTGGTGTAGGCGGAGCCGTATTGGGGTTCCCCAGGTCTCGCTCTCCATGCCCAGCTCTCACTGATAACGGCCCAGGAGATGTGGGAGAGAGTGCTTCATCATAACTGGAATTATCTGAACCCCGGCTAGAGTCCTCTTGACCCTATGAAGAAAACCAGAAAATAGTGCGGTCATGAGGAAGTTTCCTCTTACCCTCCCCAACCACCCTGGGTTTGGGTTAATATTGGGCATGGAGGAAAAACAAAATCTTAACCACCAGTGAAACAATTTGTACTTCATTTGCAAATGTCCAAAGTCACCTGTCTACTCTCAAGTGCCTTTCAAGTATGAACTATCACTTGATTCTCCCTTTCTACCAATGACTGTTCTCAAGTTTTGATACTCAAAATATAATGTAAGGATTAATGGATACATGAACCAGTAATCAGAGAAGAGACAAAACAAGTCAGGATCTTGGAATTTGGGAGTCATATAGTCAATGCAAAACCAGAGTTCTGGTCTCATCCTCTGGCCCACTTTAAAAGTAGCTGGCTCTGGGACAGAGGCTCACCCGGTGGCGCTTGCCCTGGATCTTGGCACGGGCGATGTCAGAGGAGCTACGGCGGGGTCCACGCCGACGAACACGAGCATAGTTCGCTTCCTGAAACTCTTTCATTTTTTTCCTCTTCAGCCGGAACTGGTGGCTACAGCTCACATTATACCTACAGGTCAGACGCATGTAGATCAAAGGTGCTAATAGAAAACTAGGTATTTAAGAGCTGATTTGGGGAAGACTATGAAAATAAAGGAGACATTAAATATCAACTGTGAGACAGATGATCCTAGGGAGGGATGTAACATTAGATGAAAGAACCACTGCTGAAGACAAGGAGGGGGTGCCCCCAGTACCTCTTAGCACAAGTCATGGAGCAGAATCTCTTGGAGCCACGAAACTGGTCTGCAGGGGCATACTTCCCACAGTACTCGCACTTCAGGAGATTCGCCTTCTTATCTAGCTCTGAAAAACAAGGCATCACTCGAAAGCTGCCACCAGTTTCTGCTGCGCTCAAACCATCATTAGGCCTAGAGCAGGGTTTGCCCCCAAAGGCCTACACCACCTAACTGAGAATCCCTAAAACAGTTCAAATTCCAAAACCATAAAGGCATGTTTATCATAGTCTTCCTATCCTTCAGCCAGACTATTTCCATTTTGATGACTAATGTTATCCCAATTCACACTCTCAGATTTCAGACAAGACTGCATTTCTGAACAGGAGAGGAACTAATGACTAGTGCCTAGAAGGAAATCCCTCTCCCACAAAGCTTCCAAAAGCAGAGGAGAAATGTAAATAAGAGTCTTTAATACAGATTATAAAATCTAAGGAGAACTAAAAATTAAGAAATATCCTATTTTAGATCATCTTTTGAAAAATATATCCTTATAGTACATAACAGCTTACTTTAGCCTGATAAAACTTCCCCTAATCCTGTGGAATTCCTTCTGTGTGATTCTACATATTCTAATACATGACATAGTACCTGTGTCTGGATGGACCTCATATAATTCCCACTTTAAATTGACAATTACTGTTTTATATACTGAGTCCTCAAACACATCTGGATGAGCCTCCTTCCCCAGATGGGTCTCTAAGTAAATACTTACCAGCAGATGGGCTGTCCCCTCCCAAGGGGCCACATGACTGGTTCTCATTCAGCCCTGTCAGGAGGCCAGTCTGTAGTGGCTTCTCAGACTCTTTCAGTAACTGAGAACAACCCACCTGTCCCAGAAAAAGTGTACAGTTCAGTTAACCTAATTCCTTTCTGCTTCTCTACAGCTTTCCCCAGCATTTCTCATCATCATTTCTGTGCCTGGATTCCTAAGTTAGTGGTAAGTCTGGTTCAGACAGAATCGTTTTCAGCATGGCCATCGAGAATCTCTCACTGGCTTTTTTCAGATAAGCCACTGAAGGGCAGGGTCCTTCCCTGGCTCCCTGCTTTGTCCTTTCCCCTCCTAAGCTGAGGAATGCACTAGTAGTCAAGATAGCTATGTTCCAGTTTTGCAACTCAGGATACCTAGAAAAGTCCATTAACTTTCTACCACAATTTTCTTTATTATAAACCAAACCTAGTTTGTCTAACAAAACATTACGCTTTAGAGGTCACCTCCTGCCTTTTCTTCTCCTCTTCCCAACACTTTCATTTTCTGGTCCACATATTCTTCCCTTTTCTCTTCCCTTCCTTCTTTACAGCTCACCAAATGAACAGCAGAATTGAACTATTCTCTAATAAATAGTCCTGAGCCTTCTGATTTTAGTGGCCTTTGAAAAGACAATAGTCAGACCAAGTCCCCACTTGAAAGTCCCACCTTATGGCCCTGCCCTCACCGGGAAAGGTTCTGCTCCTTCCTGGATAACGAAGCCTTCAATGATGTGGGTGAGAATCTGGGGCTTCACAATGGCCTGTGGGGGTTTTGAGTCACCCATCTGTCTGGACACCATGGCTAGTGTAGGAGGTGGTGCTGATGGGGCAGGAGCCAAGGATACTAGTTCACTGCTTGAGGTATTAGCATTCACATTAGTCATTGATTCAACTTTCTCTGGAAAATAAACACAAATTAAGGAACAGATATGGGATAACAAAATTGACCCATCTTTAGCCAAGCCAGCTTGATTTTCCACAATACATGTTCACTTTGCTCATATACCCTGGATTCCGTTTTTCAATCTACTCATTCGTCCACCAAGTTCAGACCCACATTCTACGGAACCAGATTTTTCTTTTAGCTCACTCAGAACATTAATCTCTGTGCACTCCAACAGCACTGCAGCAGTCTCTCACCTCCAAGACTGCTCTTCTCCTCCATGGCTTTTGGGCTCTCTGCTACTGGAGATACCTTGGCAGGAAGCATTGAACCCAATGAGGAGACATCATCTCGTTCCTCCTCAGACTCAGGCTTGCGTTTGACACCCAGTGTCTGGGGTTTGCCCTATAAAGAAAAGAACAGGAAAGAAATCAAGAGTTATAAGTGAAGGATAATAAGGAATCACAAATACTCGCATACTTTGAAAGAAAATGTTCTTAGTTCCAGATTCCCCAATTTGTATACTTTTCAAGTTCATTAAGATTCCTGGTCATTCCCAAGAAGTGTAACTTCCACATTGGGACAAAAGAAAATGTAACATTCATTAGTCCTGACCTAGACCTTGAAACCCTGGATTCATTATGGCCCAAATAAAAACTACTGTTTTTCTAAAGACTGTTTAGGTAGTTAAGACTATCTTGACCTAACTTAGTACAGATCCAAAAACCCAGAATGACTTCAGTAGCATATTTAGGAGTATGAAGTTCAGATATTATACATTAACATCGTTCTCTTACAAAAAGAATACCAGTATCTTAAGTGTCCATTAGTCTCTCTCTCTCTCTCACAAAAGGAACAGATATAAATACCTTCTAAATTCCTCATTCCCCTACTAAGTTAAGCTCTTATTTCTACTCAGCCCCAGGTCCACTCTCAAGAGTGACAGTGCTGCCCTGGCACGGTTGCTCAGTTGGTTAAGTGTCATCCTGAAATGCCAAGGTTGTGGGTTCAATCCCTGGTTAGGGCACATACAAGAATCAACCAATGAATGCATAAGTAAGTGGAACAACAAATCGATGTTTCTCTCTCTCTAAAATCAATAAATAAGTTTTTTAAAAATTTAATTTAATTTAAAAAAGAAAGTGATAGTGCCTCCAAAACCATCAGACATCACTCACCGGCAGGTGCATAGACTGCATGTAGAAGGCAGCAGGGACCTGGGCTACAACAGGTGAGGAGGTGGTAGCCCCACCCTTTACCACATGTGCTGTTCCCTGCACAGGAGCAAGGGTCATCCCAGAGGCCAATGTGGAAGAGCACTCCTGCAGTGCACCAGGAGCCTGGGATGAAGGTGGCGAGGAGGCCAAATGGGCCTGACCAGGCTGCATTGTACCTGGCATCCCCCGGGAAGTAGGCACAGCAGCTGCCAGCTGTGCCAACCCCAAAGCCTGTGCCTGGGCTGTACCTGGCTGTCGGGTTCCCACCACTTGCACAGGGATATGGGGTGGTGGTTGCTGGGAAGCTGACATTTTAGCAGCCCCTAACTGAGGAGGCTTGATTGGTGCTATAGGTGGTTTGGATTGGAGAGGGATAGGTGGCTTGGGAGTTGGGTCAGGTGGGAGGGACAAGGGTGAAGACTGAAGCATGGGTTGAACCACCAGGGTCTGGGCTTGCTGCTGGGACTGGGAAGGTGGGACCTGCTGAGTAGGTGGGACCTGTGGTGGCTGAGGGGCAGAGAGAGTTGAGGCTTGCTGCTGCTGTTGCTGTTGCTGCTGCTGCTGCTGTTGGGCCAACTGGAGGTGTGTGGCTGTGTGGAGTAGCTGAGATTGGCGGTGCTGGAACTGTTGCTGGTGGTGGATGGCAATCTGCTGCTGGATCACCACCTGTTTCTGCTGGAGGTGGATCTGCTGCTGTTGCTGAATCAGGGAATGAGGCTGGATCTGTGTGTAGGTGGCTATAGAAACCAGCCCAGAATGGAACAAAAAGGAAGAAGAGCAGAAAATCATCATCATTATGGGACCTAAAATCATCTTTCCAAGTTGTACCCAGTTTTGGAATCATACAGTGGATGGAAATCTAACCTAGGACCTGAAAGATCACCTCATTCATAATTTCCTGAATCAAGACATTACCAGATATTACCAACTATCTCTAGTCTTAAAGATCTCCAAGAAAGAATTCCCTTGCTCAATCATTTAATAATCTCCAGTAATTTCTTACATGTATCTAACTTTTATTTTCTTTGCTATACTTAAATTGTTACTTTGAACTCAGCAAAGTAAGCTGGCCCATCTTCTATGTGATTGGACTCTGAGTTCCTCAAGGCTGAGTCCACATGTTTTATCCATTTTTACATCCCTAGAATCCAGCCAGCACATCAGAAACACTTAATCATCACTGAAAGAACAAATGTCCACAGAGGTAAAAATAACATTTTCCCATGAATGTCATCAGTTTAGGTCCCCACCATGAGAAGTCTCAGGAGTCAGCAGCTGTAGGCTATGACTTTACCCAGTTTCTACCAGTGTAAACGAGTTGACAACCTCACCCACCCTTCACGCCCCCACCAGATTGTTTAGAAAACAGACATGGTATGAAAGCACTTTGGAAACAGAACTGCTATAGTATGCCACTACTAAGTTATTAGCAATACAACTGATAATTAACTCTTTTGTAATTATCCAAATGTAGCAAAAACTAAAGTGCTAGATACAAGGAAGGTAAAAATAAACATTATCAAGTAAGGTACACATACCTAACTATATCTAACCACAGTCAGAACGCAAGTATAAACTATTTGGGGTTATTATTATATTATTTATTCTTCTTTACCTTTATCATTGGCACAGATGATCACAAGCTGACTAAATTAACCCACAGCTCTATTTGCTAATCTAAGTGCTCTAAGGCACTTCTACCGTCTCTGCTCTATACTGGGCCACCTAACCACCATTACAGAGTGAGGAGAGAATTCATCCCTTATGCTAGACCGTAAGCTCCATAAGGACAGGGAATCTGTTTTTCAAAAATGTATCCCTAGCACCTCCTAGAACATAGCAGGCAATTGAATAAGAACGGGTAGAGTGAGTAAACTAAAGAACTTAGGGCCTAAGGCATCTTGTAACTGATTACTGCCTGGTGGAAACAGACAAGATCTATCGCTGTTACCTGTCCTCCTGCCTCCCTGGACTGATAAGATCAAGGGTGGCGTGACAAAGAGAAGCAGGAAAAAAGGCAAAGAAAGAAACGGTTCTGAGAATAATGACATTATGAGAAGTGACTGTTTACCTGAACTAATAAGGGTCTGGCTGGGAGCAGGTGTAGCTGTCCGTGTCAGGTTCATGCCCACGTTCTGCGGACCAGTCCCATCCGCTTCTGCCTTCTTAGCTGCCGCATTTTCTGCCTCTGTCTGGCTGCCCTGACTCACAGTCACTGTTTGGGCTGCAGGCAAGGGCTGCACCACTCCTGTGCCCTTCCTGGGACAGCTCCCACCACCACCCATTCCTGAGGAAGGCAACTGACCCAAGCCCCCAGGTGCCTGGCCACTTCCACCTGGACCCATGGACCCTGGGATGCTATTCCCACTGCCTCCACCAGCTTGACTAAGGTTGAGGGACTGGCCTGAGGTCCCAGAGGAAGCCTGAGCCACAGCTAGGGCCTGGCTAGAGGCCTGGGAGAGGCTAGAGACAGGGGATGCTCCAGGAGGAATGGCCTTCTGAGTAGAGCCTTGCATTTGAGGTCCTTGGGCTGAGGCCTGTTGGTTCCTCACTGCCAAGTTCTGCACCTGAAAGATAAGAAGAAAAAGACTGAGAAAAGGAGAATAAGAGGTAGTAAGGTCAAAGATTACAGTGACAGATTCAGAAGCAGCAAAGATAGCTACAGATATTTCATAGCCCACCTCAACTTGTATGCCCACCTTCACAATTATATACATTAAAGGCCTTCCAGTCACCCAGGGAAGGATGCTTATATCAAATTTTATTTTTCAGTCTCCTTCATTCAGTATCAAATCTATCAAGGTTGGTCATTTATTCCTTCACAATGTCTCATATTTTCCCTTTCTTCTCCATTCATTCAATATCCACTAAATACCTACTATGCTTCAGATATTACACTGGATACTGGGAATGCGGGGATGAAAGACACAGTCCCTGCTCTTAATGAGTATATTCTACTAGGGGAAAAAGATAAGAAAATCACCAATAACCATATGCTACTATGCACAGGTATGCACGAAGTGCTATGGGAGCACAGAAGAGGAAGTAACTCAGAAGACGAAGATTAGGGAAGACTTCCTAACACAGGTGATACTTGACCTGAGGCCTAATCAGTAATAGTGAAGGCGAGGGTTTGAAGATATAGGTAACAGCATTTGCAAGACCACCAAGGCAAGAAAATGGATAGCAGTTTTGGAAATTATATACATTACATATGAAGAGAGTGGGAAGAAATGAAACTAGGAAGGTAGGCTGAGGGTTGGGGGGTAGAGAGGTTCCAGATCATGAAGGACCTGGTGTGTTAAAATAGGAGAGTCTGAACTTCAGTTTGGAAACAGAAAATGTATCTATCGTCTTCCTGTTATATTCCCAGCACCTAGCACAGTGCCTGACACATAGTAAATATTCCAAAATATGAACAGAGAAGGAATGATGAGTACTTAATCAACTACAGGAAGCCCCTGAAGAATATTAATCAGAATAAACATGATCAAATCTACAGCTGAAACCATTCTTTCAAACATTACTGGTGGAAATGTAAATTAAATCAGTACAGCCACTCGGAAAAACATTTCACGTGTATCCTAAACTGAACATTCACATACCCTCTAACACAGCAATTCCACAAGAGAAGCTTGCTGTGTACACCCTGAGGCATGTATAAAAATATTCACAGCAACGGTTTATTCAGTCAAAAGCCTAGAACCACCCAATGGCCATTATCAGAAGAGAAGATGAATAAGCCATAATATATTCCCACAATACACAGACATCAAAACTAATAGAGTACACTGACATAAAACATATGGATGGATCTTGACAGCAAGCTATTAAGCATTCTCAAAGACTGCATACAGTACAAGTACCTTTCAAATGCAAATACAAATAAAATGTGTATTTTTTATATATGTACATATGTGTATATATATGGTGGGCAAAAGTAGTTTAACAGTTGTGGGTAAAAAAAGTTTATTCTTGTATTATAATTTATTAATTATTAAATTATTTATTATTATTTACCTACTTTTGCCCACCTCTGTGTGTGTGTGTGTGTGTGTGTGTGTGTGTGTGTGTGTGTGTGATGATACGGTGTCAGGGATTTGCTTCTAAATAATCCACCAGTGAAGGGAAAAGGCCTAGAAAGATTGGCCATGTGGTCATCAATGATGAAGCTAGATGGTAAGTACATGGGGATTCACTTTTTTTTCCTATTTTTTTAATATGTTTGAAATTTTCCATTATAAAAAATACTTTATTATATGTAAATGCAATAAAACTATATAAAAAGAGACACAAAGGAAGGATAAACCTAGGAATCAGAATGTTCTCACCATGGGTAGGGACAGGCAGTAGATGGAACTAGGATTGCTTATTATATTATTAAAATTTGCTGAGTAAATAAATAAAAGTGGGCCATGAATGGGCCATTAATGAGAGGATGTCATGAGCCAAGGATTATGATTTATCAAATTCTGCATACCAGAGGTACAATTTAAAATGTTAGTAACAACATATATTTTCTAAGAAAACTTGTTTTAACAGTAATATGAAAGAGAATTAGAAGTAGATAAGTCAAGAGACCAGTCAGAAAACTAGAACAGTAATTCAGGTGCAAAATGAAAAGAACCTAGATTCAGGCAACAGCGGTAAAGAAGAGGGGACAGCTTTTGAGAACAATTTATTTAGAATCATCAGGATTGGGTGCTGGGACACTTTAATATTATCTGGCAATTATATGGTTTTTTCTAGTCACCTTCCTTTCCATAATGGCTACTTAAAACTTTCCTACTTTCCCTATACCTCAGCACCACTTTCTCTTTCCCCTGTCATTCACCCCTGTGGAAGCAATCAAACCATTCCATGAGCATGGGGCCTCACCATTCATCAGCTGCACCACCGAATCTATGCATGCAGCTGCACAAGCACCCATCACTCACTTCTCCCTTCTCTCCCTCCACCTTCCTCCTTTTCAAGAAGCTTATATAATCAATTCTTTCCTGTCTCTTCAATCTTCCCTCCGTTGGCTCCCTTCCATCACCATCCCGGAACCTCACTTCCCCTCCCCGTTTCATCCCCCTTTCCTGTTACTGCTAAACTCTTAGAGACTGTTTACATTCACTGCATCTATTCCCTCTACCCGGCATATGCCTCACGTGCATGACTCCACTGAAATGGCTCTCCATCCATATCAGTGACTCCAACTTTCTTGCTATCTCTACTACCTCTTCTTGTTCCATTCTGTTTCCTCGTCTTCATGACACACACAATCCAGATTTTCTTGTCTCTGTCACTCTTTCCTACTCCCCTTTGCCAGCCAATCACCCTTTACTCCACCTTGAAATGCTCTATTTTCTAAGGGCTCATCCTGATCCTCAGGGCTCCGTCTTAAAAGGCTTTTCTCTTCTCAATCCATACCATACCCCTAAGGAATTTCAAACACTCTCTTGATTTCAATTATCATCTATATGTCTACCAATCTTGAATGTTTATCCAACCCAGAGCTCGGGCACCACATAAATAATACTGCTGACCCAGTATCTCCTTCTGATGGCTACCAGGCACTTCTAAGCCAGCATATCCAAAAGTGAACTTCGCCCCAAATGCACTTCTCCAACATTCTTCATCTCATAAAAATCACTACTAGCTACCTATCCACATCTCTGGCATCTCCCTCAACTCCCTATCCACTGAATCAGTTCTCCCTTTTTAATGACCTTCGAAGTTTTCCCCAAATCTATTCATTTCTGTCCATCTCCACTGCTACCACCTATCCAAGCTGTTATACTGTCGTTCTCCCTACATTCACTCACACCATTTCCATTTATCTTCCACAGAGAAGCCGACAGTCTTTAAAACAAAAAACTAAAAGAAATAAACTCAAATCTTTCATGTCACTTCCATGTTTAAAATCCTTCCATAGCTTCCCACTGCCTTTCACAAAAAGTCCCAAATCCTAAAACACACAAGGTCCTGCATGATGAGGTTCCTCCTGCCATCTCCAGCACCATCTCCATTCCTCTTTGCCAAACTCTAAGAACACAGGTCTTCTTTCAGTTCCTCAGATATATAATACTCCTTCCCACCTCAGGGTCTTTGGACATAAGGTTCACCTGCCTTCACCTCTCCTTCCATGTCTTCACCTCACCAACTTCTACAGACCCAATTTAACTGTCACCTCCTCAGGGAGGCCTTCTTGACTTCTACCCCCATCCCAAGGCTACATTAACTCCCTTTCTACATTTTCAGTAGAAAGCACTCCGAACTTTCTAATGAAGCAACTACCAAACCATCCAGGTGATTATCTGTTTAACGTCTGGTGCCTCAGTGATTTGTAATCTCCATCTAGGGATTATGACTTTCTTGGGTATTCAGGGCTAAGGAATGTGTGATATATAATAATGATAGCTAACACTCTTAACACTCATTATGTCCAGGCACTGTTCAAACACTTACACATATCAACTCATTGAGTCCTCACAACACATCCTGAGGTAGGTATTTTATAATGTAGATGTTTTATATATGAAAAAACTATGGCCAGGCCTAAGGGTATGGCTGGGCATGGCTCAGCGGTTGAGCATCAACCAAGGATCCAGGAGATCGGGGTTCGATTCCCGGTCAAGGCACATGCCTGGATTGAGGGCTAGGCAGCCGATCAATCAATGACTCTCTCATCATTGATGTTTCTCTCTCTCTCTCTCCCCCTCCTTTCCTCTCTCTGAAATCAATAAAGATATGTTTTTAAAAAAAAAAAAAAAAAAACTATGGCCAAAAGATGTTAGGTCACTTGCCTAGAGTCACACAGTAAGTCATGGAATCGGAGTCTGATCCAAACTTCAGACGCACATTTTAACCACTACTGTGTCCCTCCACATAGTGACACTCAACGAGTAGATGGGTAAATGAAGCAACTGGATATGGCAGCAGTCTCAACCTCATCCTCTGACCCTACTGCTATTACCAGAGTCTAAAACAAAGGTCTCACCTTATTACTAAATGACCCCAAGCATTTCTTAGTAGGTTACCCAACACTGTATCTCTTTCTTCTCCAGGCATATGTTCCTAGATGAGCCTTTCTAAAGTACTTGTCTTATCCTATTAATCTGCTGTTCAACAGCCAGCAATGACCCCGGCTACCTAGGGAGTTACCTGGCTTTCAGACTTCTTCCTAACAATGATCTTTTCTACTATCAGGCCTATTGTCTCCTCTTTATCTACTCACCTCCAACTCATAGACATATATGTGAAATTACGCTTTTACACGTACTGTTCTGACTCCTGTTTTCTTCTTACTCCAAATGAAATCATACCCATCCTCCAAAAAAATGCTCAAGTATCCCAAAAGTCACTGAGAAATAATGCAGCCAACTCTTCTCTGAACTGGTGACCCTCAAAGTCAGTGAAGTTTACTTTTGTGTTTCTCTGTTCTCTAAGCTCTTTATAAAGACTTGACTCATATTTATTTTCAAACCCCTTAAGTTTCTAGTATACATCTGAGCACATCAATAGAAAGCTCAATATTTACTTGCTAACTGATAAACTAAAAAAAAAAAAAAAGGTACTATGAGATCCCAGTTTACATCCCATTCATAAGATAAAAAATACATGCTCGCCCGGCTGGGCGTGGCTCAGCGGCTGAGCGTCGACCTGGGATCCAGGCAATCGGGGTTCGATTCCCGGTCAGGGCACATGCCCGGGTCGTGGGCTCGATCCCCAGTCGGGGGCGTGCAGGAAGCAGCTGATGAATGACTCTCTCATCATGTTTCTATCTCTCTCTCTTCCTCTCCTTTCCTCTCTCTGAAATCAATAAAGATATATTTTTTTTAAAAATTCATGCTCAAAATATATACACAACACTAACACTTTATATATATATACATATGTATGTATATTTCAGGGAGTAAGGCATGGTGAAAAGCAATGGTAAGAAAGATTTCACTGGGACTACACTGTGAGCAGAAACATCCTGCTGAAAGTTGAGAGGTACTCATAAAGAGAAGGGATCAAACATTTCTGCCAGCAACTCAAGCCAGGTCAGCTTAACATCTATGTAACAGAATTCCCTCGACCACCCGCATCTTCCAGAGACAGTAATGCAAGGAGAGAGAATTAAAGACTTCCTGAATAAACTGAGCCATCGAGGGCTAGAAAATGTAAGGAAATCTGCCTTGTGTTAAGAATAAGCCTTCCTAGAGCCAGAGGGCTATTTTCAGTCAAATCTACTTCCCTTCCTAGTTCAAATAACTCAAAAGTTGTAAGGGATTCAAGTTCTACAGATATTAAAGGCAAAATAATAAAAAACAAGAATTCTGAAAAATGGTAACAAGGTGGAAGGGGGCCCTAATCTGTGGTAGTCCCTTCCTCCTCCCCAGTGCCCTCAGCAGGTCAATGCTGCCACTGACCTGATCTGCATCTGCATGAACTCCCGGAGACTGAGCAGATGGCACCTCCTGCTGGACTGCAGCCACTGCCCCGTTAGGCATCAGGATGAGCTGAGAGGCTAGAGGCACATTCCGGCCCAGGGTCCGGTTTACCTGCAATAGGTTTCCCAGCTGTGGCTGGCAAGGAGAGGAGGAAGAGCAGAGGAAAGAGAACAAGGGGAAAAGAAGACAGAAGAGACGGAAGGGAAGGACCACAAGACAAAATAAACAGAAGATACGAAACAGCGAAGTCCTGCCCCTTTCCACACCAACCCAGGAGACCCTTATTCTCCATACATGATGAATCATCCAGAAGAAAACCTAGAATGTGTATAAAACTACAGATTGATAACAAAGAGTCAAACATGAAAGAAGCTGAGACAATGAGAATTTTAGAACAAGTATTTATGTACAGTAAGTAGACAGGCTAAGAGAACCCTTAGGATATGTGTACTGAACCACGGGTCTAAAGATTATAGAGTATCTGATGCCAATTTAGTCAAATGTTAGGGTGAGCATCTTCTAACTTAGGATCTCAATGTAATCTGCAGGCTACCTATGAATACTGAGCATTACTTCTAGAGGTAAGGAAGGAAGAAGTAGATCAGCTTGTCTTAAACAGCTGGGTAACTACGGTTAAATAAAATAGCTTTCACTCAAGTCCTAGCCAGGGACAGAACAATTATGCCCCTGGGACAATGGCAGTTGTGTCTGTGGCTTACCCGTAGATACATCTGAGCCTGGGACTGGTTCAGGGGTGGGGAGGTGGTGTTCCCCAGTAGCACAGATTGGGTCAAAGTGGTAGCACTGGGAGAGCTCACACTCTGGGATCGGCTGATGAGCTGGGCGGCCGACGTGGTGGCCAGATTGATCTGTGTGGTATAGAAAGGAACCAGGACTAAGGATTTAGGAGATGTAAAAGGAAATGTAAATGACTGATAAATTCAGAGTGACATGGTCAAGAACAGAATATCTCACTTTCACAGAGTCAGGGGGAAATGAATAATACTTTCCTATCCACAGCTGTCATCCTGGCCACTAAGGGGTAGTACCATCCAGGGCCTAATCAGTAGCGTAACAGTTGAGAAGGCAAAGGAACGAAATGGAACAGATTTCACTTCTCATTGAAGGGTTCAGAGATCAGTCCCTTCCCTTTACTAAGCCCTCTTCTTCCCCAGAACTTTCTTTCTCCTTTCTTAGACCTCCTCATTACGACTCTTATACAAATCCAAAAAAAAAAAAGACTCCTATACAAATCCAAACTGGTGGCTTTTCCTTACAAATATTCTCTACATAAGGGCTGTAAATACCACTGGTGGCACCATAAACACTCCCAGATCAGCTGAACAAAGTTTAACCCAGAGACAAAGATGCAGAGCGAGAAGCCCCTCAGTGGGGAGAAGCAGCACTCACTGAGGCCTGGGTGGTGGTAGTCTGCTGCTGTGCAGTGCTGGTGTTTGGGGAGCTGGCCTGCCGACTGGCAGCAATGGTGGCCTGTTAGAGAGGAAAGAAAATAAGAAAGAGCAGAGACAACGAAGGAAAAGGCTGTGAATCTTCCAGTGATAAATCGGAGGCACAGCCCTAGCCAGTTTGGCTCAGTGGTTAGAGCATCGGCCCAGGGACTGAAGGGGACTGAAGGGGACTGAAGGGGACTGAAGGGTCCTGGGTTTGACTCTGGCCAAGGGCATGTACCTTGGTTGCAGGCCTGATCCCTAGCCCCAGTCAGGGGCACATGAGGAAGGCAACCAATCGATGTGTCTCTCACATCGATTGATTTCTCTCTCTCTCTCTCCCTCTTTTTCTCTCCCACCCTTCCACTCTCTCTGAAAAGCGATATAAATATATATATATATCCTCCAGTGAGGATTTAAAAAAAAAAAAATCAGAGACACAAAACATAATAGACATTTCCGGTAAGAACTGAGAGACTCTATCGTGGAACAAGGACAAATATATTCACTACGCCAATAACCCTCACATTACCACATGTGCTAACCAACCCAGCAACTCCCACATAACCCTCCTGGGGCAGCCAGAAAGCCTGTCCTCCTCCCACTTTCTTTTAGGTGGAGGACCCTTTGATCAGGTCACATCATGAGGCACTGATAAGTCTAACCCAGAGTTGTCCAATACAAATATAATGCAAGCCACATGTGTAATTTTCTAGTATGTACATTTTTTAAAAGGAAAAAGAAACAGAAGTACACTTTATTTTTTTTTATTGAATTTATTGGAGTAGCAATGGTTAGTAAAATTAGGTTTCAGGTACAATTCTATATCATCTGTATTTTGTACTGTGTGTTCACCACCCCAAGTCAAGTCCCCTTCCGTTACCATTTATCCCTCTATACCCTCTTCTACTTTATTTTATTTAAGCCAATGTATTTCATTTCAATGCAACCAATGCAGACTACTAAGATATTTTACTTTTTTCTCCTTACTAAATCTTTGAAATCCAAAATCATAGTGCACATCTCAATTTGGACTGGACACATTTTGAGCACTCAATAGCTACACATGGCTAGTGGCTACCATATTGCACAGTGCAGGTCTAAACACAGCATTCTGCTTCTAAAGGGGAGCTCTCTCCCACAGGTCTTACTGCAAGCCCAGAAGCCAAGATCCATTCACCCTCCTGCTCCTGCAGGAGGAAGGTAGACAGGGCAGACTATGTTGCCAGCCTGGCTTAGTGGCAGACGGGGTATGCCCCTACCCACCCGCCTGCAGCACCTTGCCCCTCCCACTTGGGCCAGCGGGCTGCTGACCTCTCACCTGCTGGACGGCAGCAAGGCTATGCAGCTGGGCATTGCTGAGCTGCTGCTGGAGCATGAACTGGTGGAAATACTGAGCCGCATTGGGCTGACGCTGCAGTGCTTGCAGAGCCTAGGAGGAGAAAGAGAGGGTCAGCCCACTTAGAATCACTCCCAACTCCTACTCTATACAAATTGCTGTGATCCTGTGAAAGGGACTCATGGCAAAGAGAGAAATAAAGGAAGATGGGAGTATGGCTAAATCATCTACTTCTGATTTGTCCAGTTTGTTTATATGAGAACCAGTAAGTTCATATAGTCCTCAAAAAGTGGAGAAGCAATTAATTCTGCTATGCTCTATTCTATTCTTGTATATAAAAAAAAGTAAAGCAGTGTAACTCACATGAACGCCTATTTCCCAAAATGGAATCTGGAAATACATAATACAGCAAGAAAAAGAATTGGGACTAGACAGGATAAAAAATCAATGAGATGTCAATTAATGTAAAGAGAAGAAAATAAAAAGACCATATTCCAGGGGTACAATAGAGGTAAAAGAGTTCTAAGGGGTTGAAAATTATGAAAAAATAAAAGCAGTAGCTTGTGAAAGATTCTATCAGGTAAAATTTTCAAACAACTGGCATTTTCAAACATCTACAGTATAATGCTAATAGATGTTTATCAACATGTTACTGGTAATTCAGTTTTAGTGTTAACTAACATTCTTTAATAATTAGAACTATTCTTATGTTGTGCATAGTTACTCTAGTAACCAAAATATTTTAAGTAAAAGGCCCATTTCCAGATTTTTTAAAACACAGAATTTACTATTTGTCTAAAAATAAAACTTCAGTCTAGAGTTTTACATTTCCATTACTCAGAGTGATTTATACAAAAGATCATAGATTAAAAACCTGGCAATCCATGAAGAGAAATGGTTGGAATCTAGCTATATGAACTGAATGGTAAATTAAAAAACAACAACAAAAAAAACACCTTTTTAAAGACTGCATCTCATTCTCTGCTTGCTTGCTCAAATTGTTGTAAATTCCTAAGATTCTCAGAGCTAGAAGGGACCTTAGTCACACCTAATCCAACTCCCACAGTTTTACTGAAAGGAATTAAGGGTGATTATCTTCCAGCATCCTTCCCTACCCCAAGCCAGTGCTCACAGATCACAGCCCCTCAGAGTTGAGCCTCACCTGCACTGCCTGCCGTTCATACAGTGACATTTGAGCTATCTGGGGCCGAGAGCTGCCCCCAGAGCTGGAACTCCCATTGGTGGAGTTGGAGTTCTGCTCACTCTCAGTCTCCATGGTCCAGGGTCCCCAAGGCTGGTGCTCTGACTCAAGACCTAGATAAAAGGAGCAAGGGATTAAAATTTACACCTGCTCTTAAAACTATTATTTCATGTTATTCAAATTAGATCTAATATTCCTCTTCTTCCATAATCCACGATTTCTAGGTTTTAAAACTACCAAATCTGCAATACACTCTTCCCCACACCATTCTTTGAAGCTATACAGTGACTCAAAAGACACAACCTTTACCTGTTCGGTCACAGCTGTCATTAAATATAAAACAACCAGAATGTAAGACCACACCTTAAAATACTAAGGCCACTTTACATTTCCATAACACTTCGTAACAGTTTAAAAGCTTCTTGTTTAAAACTTTTGTTTAATCTCATTTTTACCTGCATCTGTGACATCCTTACCAGTATCATCTTAATAATGGTTACCACTTACTGAGAAGCCACTAGGTGCCTCCTCTCACTGGGCTAGGCTCTTCACCTCCATTATCTCTCCCAGTGCTTTTAGGTAAATAATAATATCCCCACTTTACAACTGTGGAAATGAGGTTTTCCTGAGGTTAAAGAAGTTGTCCTAATAAGTAGCAAGTCTTTACATTAGCACATGCATCTTCTTCAAACCAGAAAAAAAATCTGTGACTAAGGCAGTGTCACTCAGCTTGAGTACTCATTTCCTCATTTTATGGAGAAGGGAGCCTAAGATATAGATATGTTAAATGCATCATAAAACTAGGAGGTAGAAGAGCTGGGCTAGGGCCCATATAGCCCAAATAGCTGACTGGTTCCGGCTCAGGTTACTACTAACACCACCCAGGCATGTCACTTTCCCTTCGTATACCTGTTTCCCCATTTGCAAAGGCAGCTTCACAACTGAATGTAATATATCACTTTAACAAATGACCTCTGGATATTAAACATTAAACATACAGCAATGAAAATCTTCCAGAAAGTAAGGTTCAATTTTTTTAGTCTACTTAAGTGGTCACAATCTACCCTCTGGAGTCTACAGTAACATTCATTGGTAAGAATCAAGCAAAAAAAATAGAAGAGAAACAAGAAGACATGTATACCTCCAAAGCAGCACTAAATGATAATAAGGTTTCTTTGTTCATTATTATTTTTCTCTTTTGTTAAACCCAGACACTATATTCTGTACTTCTGAGGACAAGGGGCTACTAGAAATATTAGGTCAGCAAAGCACTATTTGGTTTACAAATGTAAACATCAAACCAGAATTTGTGCTAAGGGCTGTCAACAGTTTTATTATGATGGATTTATCTTAATGTTTGCATCCAAAACAAGCAAACAAAGTAAATAAAATCAAACTGCTTGCTTGGCCTACTAAACAGAGTTTGGGAGATTTCTTATTATTCTGCTCCCAGTATCACCTGATCATAGCATTATCCCCCAAGAACTACCCATCTCTTCAGTTTCATCACTGAAAACACCAATATAACCCAAGACGTATATAGAAGAAATAATATCAGCTTCAACTCTATCTTCTCCCCACATCTTTTGCCAAAATATCAAAGCACTAAACAGATACAGACCCATGAATCCTCATTATCAGCATGTGAAGAAAAAAAGTGGGTAAGGATTAGAGGCAGCACGCACAGTTGTATAGATCACTGGACTTAGTTAACTGGACTCAGACATGAGACCCCTTTACTAGCCAGAGGGGACACTAATTCCTACATTGTTAAGTGAAAATGCTAATAAACTATACGATCCCTCATCTCCCCCAAAATAGAAGCCTTATTAATAATTTTTTCAGGTTGTGACATGAATACAGAGATGGAAAGGGACCAGCTTAAAGTCTTTAATAACATCAAGGGAAACTTATCAAAACCAGGATTCCTGGATCCCAGGCACATATATCTATTCATTCGTGATCAACGCTGGAATTGTAAAATTAAGTACAGAAAATAAAGACGACAAAAAGTTTGGGTGGCACAGTGGATTTAACTGTTCAGAATTAAAGGGGAAGAAAGAGTGAGAAGCTGATCCACAGCGGTCCCCAGAATAGCTAACCCACGGTCATTCTGAAAGGTGGCATTTGGGTGCATATGGGTTGGGTGTGGGTAGAAGCACAGATCCCCCTGGAAGGGAGACGGGAAAGGCTATTGAAGTGGACCTGCTACAGGGCCGACTGAACCAAGAGTTGAAGACCAATTTCCCTAAGCATAAAACTTTGTCTTGTAGAAGCATGGGGCATGGGAAGGGGGGGAGGCGGGAGAAGGAGGAGGTTCGGGAAAGATTGTGCAAAAGAAATGCAGTGGTCCGGAGAACGGGGACAGCAGACACCCAGGGGTCCTGGCTGTACAGAGAACCTTGATGAAAATGAGGTTCCAAAGAGGAATCAAGTACACAGGGGGAAGGGGGCGGGTAGAGTGGTGCCAGGAACTGACCCAAGTGAGCAGGGCAGTGTGCTTAGTGCTAGCGGGAGAGAGGCGGACAGAAGTCAAGGCGCTGCTGAGGAGCCCCGCGGACCAGAGAGCAGGAGGCAGCTCGACAGCAAGCATGCTCGGCCGGGAACCAGAGTCGAAGGAGGGAAAATGAATGGGGAACGAGCGGTCCGAAGCAACAAGGGTGACGGGCGGACAGCGCTAAGCACAGCGACTTGAAGAGCTGCAAGACTGAGACGGGCAGAGCCGAAGGACCGCGGAGCGAGCGCTAGAGGTAGGCAGGGAAAGGAACTGGGGGAGGTACCTGGGGCGTTACACACACCGAGGTGGCTCAGAAGCCTCCCCGCGCAGCCAAGCCCCCAGAGGTCCTGCCCCTCCCCAGCCCGCGGTCGCCGGGTTACCTTCGCGCCAGGCTCCGCACCCAAGGGCTCCCGGGGGGCGTCCGCCTCATGTGCCAGGGACCCCAGGCTGGGCGGGGGGCTCGCTCGGCCTCCGCGGCGGGCTCCCCTCTCCTCCTCCCCTTCCTGGAGGGGCGGGGGCGCC